TAAATCTGCTTACATAGGCATCAACACTGTCTGTTCCTTGTTTGATGTCAAATAACTGTTTTTGCCAAATTGTTTTTGGTTAGCAGTGCTAAAATGAGCTTTAAACAAATGCTTGAAACTTCGGGCTTGGTCAGCATCATTATTGTAAGTGTTAGGCTGGGAATTCAGACTGCAATACCAGTCTAAAGCAATACCTTTCATGTATACTGGTGCAAGTTCTAATCGATGAGCATCATTCCAATGATTTGCTTTACAAGCTCTTTGAAATTATTGGAGCCAGGTAAGTGGGTCCTGGGTTTCATCACTAAGGAAGGGCTCTACTTTGATTAATGTCTGTTCAGGAGCAGTTCCTAAAGCAGTAGCCAGTGCAGTTATAGCAGTAGCAGCATCTTGTAACACTTGGTTACCCATATTGGCAGGAGGATTAGGAGGATTGAGAGGTGGTAGTAGGGGTAAAGGTATAACAAGAGATTGATAAACAGGAGGTGAAGAAGGTGGGGCAGTGTAGACAAGGTCAGCTAAGTTAATATTTAATTCATGGTCTGAGTCTGGTTCTTCGTCACTAGAATTCCTAGGTTCAAGAATATTTTCTTGGTCAAGATAAATAATCCAAGAGGGAGTATTATTAGTTTCTGGTGGGGTTTGGTGAGTGACTTCTTTACTATATGGGGGAAGGCTATCTTCTGGTTCATAGAAGTGATGAGTGTCTTCTGGTAAGGCAGTTATGCAAACACTGTTGTCTGTAGAGGTGGCTTGCAAGATAGGACTTCCTAAATTTCCAAAGAATTGACTAAAGTTTTCTGGTTCTTCAAAACTAAAGATTTGAGGTTTGTCAAGATAATAGTCAAAGGTGTTTTGGTATTAGAACAGTAAGGTAGGGAGTTGGAGGAGAGGGGTATGTTATTGGAGGAGTGTAAGGGCTATGTCTCAAGGGTTAGAAAGTGCAGTTGTATAGCGACAACTAAAAATAATATCCCAAATTGCTATACGAGTATCAGTATGATTGATAGACTGGTAAGTATAGCAAAAGCGTCTTGGGTCCTTCGAGAGTAAAGTAAAGCTGAGAAGCGAAGGTTGTAAAAGGTCCAAAATCTTCCAAAAGGTGTACGAGGACTTGTTCGACAAGGGTAATAGCAATTAGTGCAAGAAAGGTCTGAGTAGCCTAATTGTAGTACATTTAAAGCTAAATGTCCTAAGTCTAAATGTGCTCACTGATGGTTACGAATATATTCCTGATATAACTCGTCAGCAGTTTGTACCATATGCTACTAAGAGAGTTGCTAATATAGCAATTGTCTAAGGTCTACTAAGAAAAGGAAAATGGCTCGTGTGCTAGAGACAGATGTCCAGAAATTTTAACAAAAATATGGCTCACGTGCTGGAGACAGATGTTCAGAAAATTAAAAAATATGGCTTGTGTGCTGAAGACAGATGTCCAGAGAATTCAAAAATACGGCTCGCGTGCTAGAGACAGATGTCCAGAAATTACCGAAAAGGAGAGGTAGGAGAGAGGTGCAGAGGGAATTTAATTATATTTCTGCCAGAAGGCACCAAATGTTACAGTACTGTGGCCTTCTTAATAGCAGTATTCTAACAACGACACGGCTACAAGGATCCTTTATAGGTTTATAGCGGTGTCCACGAGGTAAGTATAATTCCTTAGTCTGTAAGAAACTATACCCTTCTCTCTGAGGCAGTTCAGTAAAACAAGAGATGATAGTTTATATTTTAAACAAAGATAACAAGCC